CATCTTATATTTGGGTTCATCTTATACTCTGAAAAATACGGTAGTCCCTGCAGAATTTCTGAAGTACTTTCTAGGGGGGGATTCTTGGTTGGAAATCCAAATTACTAATAGGAAACCAGAATGTGACACACCAATATAACTCTAGAGTGACAAAATAATTATCAAGGCCGATAAAAAGGCTAACACTTCTTTGAATGTGTATCTATGAATTGGCAATCTCAAGTGACCCAGCATTTCTTCTAGCATCTAAAGATTAATGGGGTGTGGAGAAAGTGGATTGGGCCATGCCAGGGATAAAATGCATTAGGCATTTTAAGATGTGACAGTGAGAGCCTTCAGAAAGCAGCTGCTGAGTCTGATGTGTCCAGTCAAGGAACGCACATTGAACACAAAGTAGTCATGTATAAGTGAGGGTCCTTGTTACGCGCTCCTTTTAGCCTAGAATGGTTTCTACTACCCTTACTCTACCTGGGAAGTTGAGCTTATTTCATTAGAAAGAAATGGCCTATGCCACTTACAGACAGTAAGAAAGATGACTCTGATGAAAGTATGCAAAAATTGTTACCCAGACAAAAGGGGCTGAATTTTTTTCTGAGAAAAAAATATAGTATTTGACAGTGGCTCAGGCAGACACCTTCCTAATTCACTTGAGCATTTAGTGTGGAAAAGGAGCTACAGCATAGGCAGTTTTGCAATGTTTTGTTATTATAGCCAATCTCTTGTTTTTTAATGGTTGATTGGGAGCTGTCCAGAGTTCAATATAAAATGGGTGGCTATATAAATGCTTTAAATAAATAAATTTCTCTCATAAAATCATATCACATAGTCTCTTGGCCAAAGAATGGCCAAGAGACAGCCAAGTGTTTAGAACTTTAATGAAAAACTAACACGTTTGCAGCCATCCAGATTTCTGTGTGTACAAAATATGTCTATCAGAACTACATGAACCATAAAGGCATCTTTACATATAAATATGATGCCAGAAACTGTAGCTTTGTAAAAATGTTGGCTTCTCAGGTGGGTAGGCAGCTTGCCAAGGGCTAAGAGAGGCCACCTGTTTACTTTCTATGTTCCTGTAAGGGTAAATTGAGACTGACAAACCATTCCCTATAATTAAATACATGATACTAGATGAAACTGCATGCTGTCTTTTCACTAGTCCACTTCTCAAAGTCTTTCTTGTATGTTAATGAGGTTAAGCACCTATGGGATCCAGTTCTTTCTCACAAGTTGAATCCATGGAAGGCTGCTGTCAAACTAAAATTAAGAACTTGGGTTTCTTACAGGAGCCATTTCTGAATTCCTCGAATGGATCCCTACAAAGGTTAGAAACTCATCTGCTCAGAGAAGTTTGAAACTTGACATCTAGTTTCAAAGACTAAAAACTTTTCAGGCATAAATATAAGAAAAAATTAGGGTGAAACTGTGACAAATGCATTACAGGGAAGAGGTGGGGTGGAGAGACCCCCACAGAGAATCCAGATAAACAGACCACTGAATTTATCATTGTTTGTATCGGAAATCTCAATGCTCTGAAACAGTATGCTAAAAACTGGAGCGGGGCCTGTAAATAAATGTTACGTTTCTACTGTAAGAAAATACATGTATCCCTGAGCCAACCTTTTCCGCATAAAAGTAATTTAATATTATTACCACATGAAAAATGATCACTATGGAGTAATGTAGCTGTCAAAGTTCAAGTCATATTTTATTTTAAAAAAAGAACTTATTTATGTAAAACAGAACTCTTTTAAAAACACCACAGTAATAAGAAAAAAAAATCACTTCTCTCTGTCCCTCCTTCCCAATGTTTCTATCATACATAAAAAAATGTTCATGCCATGGATGATGACATACAAGTGAAAATCAGGAATACCTGATCTTTTTTTAGCAATGTGTACATGAAAGTACCTACACACTACATTTGTAATCAATGTGCTTGAAAATTAGGGCACAATGAGCATGACACTCCTTAGAGCAGAATAATCTGGGAAAATAACAACTTAACAAATATCAAGAGCCCTGCTGTATCAGACCAAAGACCATTTTAGCAGACTGTTTTCCTCACTGGCCAATGAATGATTAACACACAAGCTTAAAAATAGGCTAAGCTGCCCAAAGTTCTTTGCAACTATTGTTCTTCAGAAAGCGATATCCAGCCAGGTTACCTCCTGGAGATGAAGTGGACCATGACTGAAGGCCACTGCTGTCTTCTCCCTTAATTTCTCTACCCACCCCTTACCATCAGTACAAAAAGAAAACTGTATTTATAACTCTGCAAGAAAGGAATTGGGTCAAAGTCCCCTTCCTGATATAATTGAATAAAGTATCATCCTCCATCACTACAAAAAATTCTTTCAACTATCCATAGATATTCAGGCATTTACCCATTTGAAACAGTGCCCTGTGCCTAAATTTTGGTTTTAGTAATGTGTATGCTACATCCCCAAGTTGACCCCAAACTATATTCATAATACAGTATGTCACAATGGGAAATAAACATATTGAAAGTAGTAAATTATAATTACATTTCAACTGAACTTAAATCTATGGGTTGTTTTTTTTAACCTACCTAATTCTCACTTCTAATCCTGCTGTTCTTTGATCTACAACACATTTCACCAGAGGAATTTTTAGAAGATGAGTGGAGCTTTTCTATGGAAGAAATTCAAACTCTAACCAATTAACTTGAATGTCTTCATTGGATGTATTTTATGTGATTTCTTCAGAATCTATTAAATTGTGTAAAACCTATAAAGGAAATCAATCTGTAATGTATTCATATAAATTTTATTATGGTTGCAGAAGAACGGAAACTGAATTTCTTCTAGCCTACCTTAAGCCCCTCTAAGTTACGATGTATAATTTATCTTAATGACAATTAATTTTCAGACTAGTATGTGTTCATAGATGCAGTAAAATTATATTAAAGTTTTTGGTTCACAGCTGACATCCTTACCTAATATGATACAAAGGATTTTAATAAACTGTCAATGTTTTCTCTGTGGACACCCCACATGCTAAAAACAAAAGATCAAAATAGAGAGGGTGATTGCTCAGTTTGGTTTTGTTGTTACTGTTTTCAAATACTAACCAAACCACAATTAAATTACAAATGTGAACAAATATGATAAACCTATGTTGCTGAAATGAAATATAAAACCCTAAAAAAATATACCTGTTGTAACCATGAAATTGTCTGACATGCCATGATAGTACAGGGATTTTTAGTCTGCCTATCTCTGCTCTCAAGCCCAGCCACTTAAGGCATCTTCCACTATCTCTAACCAGTATATGAACCCCCCTTCTTATGTGTGATAAAGGTTAGAAAATATGTCAAGGTAAAAATGGGCACTCAAAAGGAGACTCTGTGCTCACTCTAACTTGGTGAGAAGAGGAGGATTTGGATTTCACTTTAGGAAGAAAAATGAGTTGGATCAACATTGAACTGAATTTCATTTAAATTGATGGTTGGATAAATCTGAAATGAGCCTAACAACATTGTTGTTTCAATCAGAACAGAAACTGGCACAGGTAATCCTTGACAATTGAGTTCAACATTTCTGCTGTTAGGCAAGACAGTTGTTAAGTGAGTTTTGCTTGATTGTATGACCTTTTTTTGCCACAGATGTTAAGCAAATCACTGTAGTTGTTAAGTTAGTAATATGGTTATTAAGTGAATCTGGTTTCCCCATGGATTTTGCTTGTCAGAAGATTGCAAAAATGATCGCATGAATAGTGCAACCGTCATAAATACAATCCACTTTTGTTCATATGACTATGGGGATGCTGCAATGGTCGTTTTTTTCAGGGCTGTTGTAACTTTGAATGGTCAATAAACAAATGGTTATAACTCGAGGACTACCTGTAGTTGATGAGAAGGCGTCCACATGACCACTCTTTCTTTCATCAGCAAGTAAGAAAGGAAAATGCTATGGGATGGATTCTTTCTACTCATGCCTACCTTTACCAGAATGATACTTTTGGCACAGTTGAATACCCGCTAATACAGAAGTGCAGTAATCTACCCACAAAATAACAACTGTCTTTAATTACAAGCAATACCAGACAACTGAAGGAAAGTGGAAGAGGAACATATATTATCAAGTGGGACTTTAAGTCAGAGGAGACATAATCGGTACACACATGGCATCTAAATTTGGAATGAGATTTTGTCACAATGGATACTTTGAAAAATCTTCTTCTAGGAGATTGTGTTGAGTATGTCAAATATTTCTCTGAAAACATTAAATCAGGATCCAATCTGGATCGGTCACCAGGACCACAGGTTTTGTCTGAGCTTTTAGACTCGTGCTAGAGCCCATTTTCAGGGAACTTGTGAGTGACAGCAGCAGAATTATTTTATTCTGCATAGAAGTGATGAAAGACGATATCTTTCAGGACACTCTGTACCGATATAATCATTTCACACTTGTTGGCCGATACAATACAGTACAGTACAATACAATACAATGCAATGGCAGAGTTGGAAGGGATCTTGGAGGTCTTCTAATCCAACCCCTTGCCTAGGCAGACAAATGGCTAGCCAACATCTTCTTAAAGACTTCCAGTGTTGGGGCATTCACAACTTCTGGAGGCAAGTTGTTCCACTGATTAATTGTTCTAACTATCAGGAAATTTCTCCTCAGTTCTAAGTTGCTTCTCTCCTTGATTAGTTTCCACCCACTTCTTGTCCTACCCTCAGGTGCCTTGGAGAATAGTTTGACTCTCTCTTCTTTGTGGCAAACCCCTGAGATATTGGAACACTGCTATCATGTCTCCCCTAGTCCTCCTTTTCATTAACCTAGACATACCCAGTTCCTGCAAACGTTCTTCATATGTTTTAGTCTCCAGTCCCCTATACATTATATCTAAAATTGTATTTGCTAAAAAGGAGAGGAGAGAGAGAGAGAGAGAAGGAGGGAGGGGGGGAGCGAGGGAGGGAGGGAGGGGATGAGAATGAGAATACAGATACAAAAGAATGCAGATACAAAACTTACCTTGGGTGAACAGGCAGTACACTTGTCAAACGCCAGACTGACAGGAAGAACATTATCAAATCTTGATAAAAAACCTCGGATCTGTCAAGACAAGAGGTATATAGCAGAATTTTGAAATCAGCCATATTGCCCTGGCTAAATTTCTCAGGTCCCATGTTATTCAGAAAATGCAGACAACATGTACAGATCTTATAATAATGAACAAAGGCCCTTTCTACAGAAACTGAGGGCATGGTTATTCAGGTTGGATGATTGCATGTAGTGTGATTTCTCTGTAGACAGACACACAGCACCACCTGGAGTATAAACCTCTTGCAGAAAGGGAGTGAAGGAGCAGTAAGGGAAAATATTGTACAGACCTATCAGTTGCAGGCCCTACAATTTTATATGGTGATATAATACTGTCGCCTAATAAAGGATTCAATCTTTTTCAGTCCTGTCTAAATGGGTAAAATAGGAGCATCAATCAAGCAAATCCTTTCTCCTTGGTAACCACATTGTGGGGGAGAGGTGTCAAAAAGGTGGCCATAAATATGTGATCCAAGCTCTGGCCCCTCCCCTTTTGCAGGGCTTGCAAAAAAGAATCGGGAGTTTGATCATATGATTGTGATCACCATCTCAACTTTTATGGTTTGACTTCTGTGCATCTTTCAACTTTATTCTTACTTCCCCTATAAACTATGTAGTCTCATTAATTCTGTACAGTATTTCTACAGCATTTCTCGGAGTTATTGCTATGCTGATTTTGGTTCTGCTCTTGTTGGTACTGTTGGATTTAATTACAATTTGGACCTTCTTTTGATTTTAGCAATATACTGTACATTGCCCACAGCAGCAACCATGCGAGGTAGTAGCCATCTAATTAGTCCTTGACCTACAAACACAATTGGGATTCGAACTTCTGTCATTAAGTGATCCGGTGGTTAAGTGAGTTGCATCCAATTTTAAGACTCCCCCCCCCCTTTTTTTTACAAGATCATTAAGCAAATCATTGCAGTGATTCTAGCTTCCCTCATTGGTTGCTTGTCAGACGGTGGCTGGGAACATCTTCAATGGTGATCATATGACACCAGGTTTGTGTCCAGGCTAAATACATGCTGGGTACCAAGAATAACTGAAGCCAGTGGTTTGGAACATACAGCAAACTGAGTTACACAACTTAGTCAAACACATTTTAGCCCAGGATCCTATGTAAGCCAAAACTGATACTTAGATATGGATAAAGCCCTCTCACAATTATCAAACAGTGATATTATGCTTGCTCAAAAATAACCCCAACTAAGTTATACATGGCTTACTTCCTCCTAAGCACATCAAGGATTGTAACTTGCTAATAATAAACATACCATCAATTTATTTAGAATCTCAGGTTGCTTAAGTAAGGTATGCTGTCCTTTTCCTGCTTTCCTTAGTGGGAGAGCATGGCAGCCACTGTGTGACAGAGAAGGTCATGCTGTGACAATCAAAGAATGTAAAATAACTGCGCCAAAAACAACTTGCAAAAATAAAAGCGCATTAGGAAGTGCTAAGGAATAGGGATGTATTTTTTTAAAAAAAATTGGCGCTATGCATTTGTATTTAAATTGGACACTTGCTGAGCATTCAAATAATAATATTTTGAGGCACAACAGGAGACTTTTAAACAATAAGAATAAAATATAATTATGAATGAAGAAGAGAGAGAGAGAAAGTTGAGAGTTAATTAGATTATTGTGCACCATCTCTATTTCTCTTAATTCATACAAGGAAGAAAAACAAAAAGTTCTGAACCAAAAAATATCCATTCCCCCATCCTGTACCCACCCCCGGCATTAATCCTAAACAGATATGTTATCTACAAAGAGAACTTGGATAGCATTACATCTTCTTAGCTAACAGGAAACCAGTTGTTGACACAAATGTGTAGGGGGGGGGGGAGGAGTGACTATACAGGATGAGATGTTTGTAATGTAATTAAACTTCATTTTGCAAGTGATTTTTGCAACAAAAATGACATTAATTTTACTGCTCAGAATTTTTCTTACAAGGGAAAGAGCATCAGGACTAATTTTACTTCATTTCCTTGTTCAACAAAGCAAAAACTTCATTTTCAAAATGATATAACAACACAATTAAACAACAACTCACGTTGTTGAGTAAAATAATTGTTAAAAAACAATTAAAATTCCCACAAAGTTCTGAAGTAAACCAATCATGCTTTCAAACATCAAGAGGATAGGATGTGAATAAGCAATGTGCTTGATGATGCAGGAGGAAGAATTAGCTATTAAATACAGGTAGCCCTTGAGTTACAACTACAATGGAGTCTGGGCATTGTGGCCATAAGTTGTGATGGTTGTAAAGTGGATTGGTCATGTACTTCACCTGATTTTATGTCCATTTTTGCAGCAGTCATTAAGCGAAGCAACATTTCACTATGGTGGCAGTTTTGCTGAAAACTGGAAGTAAATGCTGGTTTTCAGCAAAAATGTGGTCATGTGATTGTGGGACATGGCAAATAGCTGTAAATGTGGCTATGTTGCCAAGCAACAATGGGAGAGGGGGGGGCTGTTGGAACTTCAAATGCTCGCTGTGCCCCTGACTCTACATTTTTCTGCTAGTGAAAAAACAAACCAGGATCTTTAAGTTTCCTATCAGTGAAAAAGCAGTTAAATATTGTAAGCAAGCTAGCCTTAACTGAGCTTTGAAACCGGCTTATTTTTGAAAATATATTCCAAAAGCAACAGGAAAAGGGCTCCTTATCAAGCTTTGGTTTAGAATGAAATTAGAAACTAGTCTCTGAGACAAAATTAAAGGGAAACAGGTATTTTCAAATGCCTATCCATTATTTGTGACCTTAGTACAAAGCTGACCTCTCTTTAATGACCAACCTTTGGAATATATCTCTAGGTGTTCTTAAATTTAAATTGATTTCCCTTCTCAATTTATGTCATTCTGAACTCCTAACCTGAAGTCATGAATCACGATGTCTACAGTTTTTCAACCATTTCTCTACTCTTTTACTACTAGAGGGCTGCCCATTGCAGGGGTTTATAAAGCCACCTGATTTCAGGAATAATTTCACAGTTGTATGACTTTCCAATTTACTAACCTGATGAGGCACAAGCCCAAGAGAGGTGGGAGGTTCATTCATTCTGTCATCACTACTGCTTGCAACTGCATAGCCTCTAACAAAATGGAGGAGGAGAGAAAGAGAGGTAACTTTTTGTACAGAAGAGCTTGGCATTCATCATGTTTTGACTAAGTAAAATGTGGAATAAAATCCAAATCAATATTATTTGACTGATCTTCAGAATGGCAATGTTCCCCAAAAAGAAATGGTGCAATAAAATAAAACATTCTAAAATATGACTTCCTTTTCCACAATGATGGCTTACCCTTCTGGATGTTGCAAAATGGATACCATTAATTCGACAGCAAGTGCTCCTGCTATCATGGCTAATCCTGGTCGACTGACTGTACACTGTTGATCCAATGTCCGATCCTTGGTGGACTGCAAAGGAAGAGGACACATTAGGGGGTTTTTTTCCTCTACATCTTTTCTTAAAAATAAAATACAGAATAGTGATTTTCGGTTCTCTTTCCAATTACCTGCTAATAATCCCACTAATAAAGAGTTGACATGAGAGGACCTTGGTGCTCTTAGAACTTGCTTGTTTTCTTCCAGACATCCCATTACCCAAACTGACATTTCATTACCCAAACAGACTGATGATATTACTTAGTTTGGGTAATGAAACATCTACCAGAAATCAAGCAAGCTCAGAGAGCACCAATAATCCCATTCCCTACTCTTAAATCCTTGTGTCTCTTTGTCTTTCAGGAAAAAAAGCACTGATGCCAAAAAACAGAATCTAGTCCTCTTCCTTCTTCTGACAAGATAGCACTTCACAATGGAACTAGGAAAAGGGTCCTCCACTTTCTAGAGAAGATTTTAGGAATCAACAGTACTCTATAGAAGAGTTGGAATTGCTAAAAGGCTTCAATCCCTTTCTTTCTTTAGATATATGCAGCTTTCTAGAATACTTTTCTTATGTCATTATAGTGGCATTAAGGAGGATGGCAGGGGTGGCTCTTTTTAAGTCACTTCTGAACCATATCACTATAAGTCTTCCTATGGTGGGAAAAAAACGATCAGATTTTTCTCACTATTATACTAATACAGAGGAGGAGAAAAAATAATCAAGAACAGTCCTATCAATTTGCTTAAGCTCTACTTACATCTCCTGGTGCAACTACATCATTGCAGAAGTAGCAACCGAGTTTATAGCCAGGGATATTTGAAAAAAGTGATGATCCTAAAAGATCGACTGAGCCAGAAGAATTATTGCATGGAGAATCTCCAATTTCAGGATTCTTTGGTTTCTTTAGCCCATGTCTCATCACGACAAATGTGTCAAATCCCAAAGCAGCATTGATGACCAGCTGTGCAAATATTGAAAAGCAAACAAAGTGATGTTCAAATTATACAGTAAGCAAAACGTTAAAAAATAAAAATGAGCAGCCAAGATTACATAAGTAAAGCTTGTCTTTCAAGTCAGATAGCCTCTTTATCATGTGTTCACCAAATCTACTTTGGAAGATTCCCTCATCCATTAGTGTAGTTTTGAAAAGGTTGCATAATATGGGGAGATGACAAGTATCATTAGATAAAGAAAATTAGTACTGTTTTAGTATATATAATGTAGTTAAAACATTTTCATCCTCCTTTTCAACTTAAAAACACCCACAACCAAGTTAAAATGCCAATACTTGATAAATATAAATACTCAACTGACCATCAATCAGATTTAGTTAGATTATGAGTATAAACTTCCTCCATGGGAATTTCTTTATTATGGGTCTGCTAGAATGAGTAGTAGTGGAAGCTACAGAAAGAAAGGCCCAAATTCAAAATAAGGAAATTCTTGACCACAAGAAACATTAAGCAATGGAACTGCCTGATATCTGGAATGCTGAGCTCTCCATTATTAGAGATTTTCAAACAAAGGTTGGGCAGTCTGGATGGTTTCAGGATTCCCCCCCTGAGCGGGGGTTGGATTACAAAATTTCAAGGCCTCTTCTTACTTTACAATTCCATGGCTCTGTAACTTTTTACAGTTCAGGTAGGAGGAACTGCTGAAAAGCAGAGGCCAATAACCTAGAATAGCAGAATATGCATTTCAGTGTTGAAATTATGAAGTGAATCCATATTTATTGCTGAATGGAATTCATATACTTTACAAATATTTATTAGGGCAATGATAAAATAATTTAAAAAATATTAAAACAATTTTTTTTTCAAAAAATCCAAAAAGTATTAATAGACTTTCTGAAAAAGCCATCAAAAAATAGCATTTTCAATCATTCTTTTTAAACTTTCAAAATACATGGAAGTAGGAAAATGGAATTAAGGTTTTCAACTTCATCCCTCATTTACTTGTCTTAAGTTCATCAACCTAATATTCAGTCTAAACTTCAATGAAGAACACTGTATGCCAGTAAATATACAGGTGAAACTCGAAAAATTAGAATATCATGTAAAAGTTCATTTATTTCAGTAATGCAGCTTAAAAGGTGCAACTAATATATGAGATAAGACTCATTACATGCAAAGTAAGATAGTTCAAGCCGTAATTTGTCATAATTGTGATGGTGGATTTGGGGTTTTCATGAGCTGTATGCCATAATCATCACAATTATGACAAATCACGGCTTGAACTATCTTACNACTGTGGGGTGGTGGGGAGCACCGAACCAAGGTCCAGGCTATGGGCGGCTGCAGGGAAGAGCGTTCCAGCTCGACTTCAGTGCCCCGATTTCCCCGGGCAGCTTCCTTTCGCTGAGGGGGAGGTTTCCTTGCCCTGGCGACTTAGAAAGGAGATGTTCAGTTAGGTTGCTGGTCGCTCTGTAGGATGGTTCAATCAATCAGAATAGAAGGACCTTCGAGGTCCTCTAGTCCAACCCCCCCCCCCCTTTGCTCAAGCAAGAGACCCTGTACAGGTAATTTTCAACTTACGGCTGTGATTGAGCCCAACATGTACGTTGCTAAGTGAGAAATTTGTAAAGTGAGTTTTTGCCCCATTTTACCACCTTTCTTGCCATGCAAGTGAATTGCTGTGGTCGTTAAATTAGGAAATTGTTAAGGGAATCTGGCTTCCCCATTAGCTTTGCCTGTCAGAAGGTGGCAAAAGGGGCTCAGATGACCCCAAGATACCGCGATTGTCATAAATATAAGCCAGTTATCAAGCATCTGAATAGAAGTCATGTTACCATGGGAATGCTGCAATGGTCATAAGCATGAAAAGTGGTCATAAGTCACTTTTTACAGTGCCTTTGTAACTTCGAACGGTCATTAAGTGAACTGTTGTAAGTCGAGGACTACCTGTACAATTTGAGAAAAGTGGCTGTCCAGTCTCTTCTTAAAAACCTCCAGTGATGAAGCACCTATAATTTCTAGCGGCAAGCCATTCCACTGGTAAATTGTTCTCACTGTTAGGAAGTTTCTCCTCAATTCCAGGTTGCTTCCCTCCATGATTAGTTTCCATCCATTGTTTCTTTAGGCCCCTTTGTTAGTTGTTGATTTGTCTCTTCATATTATAACTTTCTAGAAATGCATCCAAAGGCTTCATAAATTAAAAACATAGGTTTGATGCTCCATATATTTTCAAACTTAACATGGCAGTGCTTTTATAGTCCCACCTGCCCACCATCTCTCCCTCCTTCTACACTGCAATTTAAATTCTGTACAAACACATTTTTGGCAGCTTTTGCAGTTTCTGCAAGAATTCTCCCAGCAAACCATCTCCAGGACCCATGAAATAAAGAAGCAGATGGACAGACTGATTCATGAAACTAAAAGTGTAGATTGTCGCCTGCATAATGTCTTCAATGGTTTCCTCATGCTTTCAAATATGCAGTTCATTGAAAATGTGAGTATGTTGCGTTATGAATGGAGAAAGATTAATGTCAGATTTCAGCTCTGATAAGGAAAAGCGTTCTGAAAGAAGTTGCAGTTTAACATGTTATTTGTTTATTTACAATAGTTCTGTTATTTATCATACAATGCATCTTTAATTATTGTAAAACTTTTTATACAACTTAAAATCCCTGCATATCAAATAATTGAAAATTAAAGATTTAAACAAACCAGTTTATTATTAGTGGAGCCATTATTATTGTGAGAATGAGCCAAGATGGCGCAGTGGTTAGGGTGCAGTACTGCAGGCCATTTCAGCTGACTGTTATCTGCAGTTCAGCGGTTCAAATCTCACCGGCTCAA